AAAAAAATCACCATCCCTGGAACCTTTTGTAAACTATGTAATTCTACTCAGTTTTTAATGCTGATTAAGAATATCGTATTCATTTTGTTGAATTTGACATTTTTCTCGTGCGAATTTGCAACTTAAAAGTGAAAATAAGCAAAAAGCAGGTGTCCACACTAGTATCACTGTAGATTTTTTTCTCAGACCGTTGTTTTATTTTCAATATTTTTATGCCATTTTGTAGCGCTTGAAATTCTCTATCGAATGCTATGTAGAAATATATTTTTGAATATCAACATAATACTGAAAACATGACTGAAAGTCATTGGAGTGTAAATAAAAGCTGCCTAAATCCTAGTATTCACTACAAAATGGTATGCAAAGATTTTTCTTTCAAGCTCGTTTAAAATGTATCAGATAGAGAAAAGAATTCTCTATCTATTCATATATAAAAAGTTGTCTTTTGCTTCTACTTTATGAGTAAAGTCAATTCAAAGTTAGATGCACCCAAGGACAAATTCTTCATCAAAAATTAGACCTTGATATGATTATAACTCGAGCTAGACAAATCGGACCCGCGTAAAAATTGGAGAATATATGTAAAAAAATATGCTCTATCAAATGAGCCTATTGAATAAAAAAATCGAGGAACCTCGACCCCCCCCCCTTTAAATAAAATCACGCTTTCTGTAGAATAATCTTTCGAGTTTATCTTAAAATCGAACTAGATCTTCATCCTTACGAATGTCTTTTCTTGTCCAGTTTTAATTTATCCAACTATTGTATAGTCGAAATATCAAATGTTCGAATGATAAAAATGGAAAAGATTTTTGCAGATTTCTTTAAATTGATTTTATTTTAATACATACTTAAAACTTTCACTGGTGGTTCACCAGGTAAAGTAACATCTTTGGAACGAATCTGAAAAATAACAACAATTATTAATCATATCTGTAAAATTCTTCTCAATTATTTATACATACAAGACGACCATCTGGTAATGTAACATCTTCACCATTTTTTAATCGAGCTCGAAGTTCAGTACTGAGAAGAGAAGAAGAAAAAAGCAAGCCATTTTATTGTCTAATTCAATAAAAATATTCTTACGGTGGTACTTTATGAAAAGCACATAATTCAGCAGATAGAGTAGCTGGAAATGGATGTGTCTAAAAATAGAATAGTGTCGATTAAAAAAATTTTTAAATTCAAAATGAATATCTACTTCGCAAAGATAAGCATAAACAAGATCATCAGGAAATTTTTTCATTGAAATTAAATTATTTGATGTTGTCAATCGTTGTTGTTTTGTATCTTTATGTAAAAATGAAAAATTTCTTAATAAAAAAAAAAAAAAAATATTTTACCAAAATTTGAAATATCATTATTTGGTCGTAATGGAATAGCATTAATTTTAAAACAATCATCTTTAAATTCACAATTATCATAATCATGTTGTTCTAAATTAATCAATAAAAAAAAAAAGAAGTCTTATTAAATAATAAATACTTACCAAGTGTAACATTTGGAAAAGCTTCTAAACCTTTCCAATGTTTCAATAAACTAATCTAAAATTAAATTCAATTTCAAACGAAAAAAAATATATAAATAATAAAATCCTTTGTATATTGTTTTCTTTTTACCACATCACATGGTGCATGAAATGTAATTTCATTTAAATAAGCATCTTTTAAACTAATAGAAACACCTAATAAACCTCCCATTGTATCCCAAGATTTTCTTGTCATAAATAAATGTTTGGTTTTAGAAAATTTTATTTCCCATGTTGTATTTTTTTCTTGTAAGGTACGTTGTGTACCTTCACCACAATTGAACATATAATTTGTTTGATCATTATTTAATATAAGTGATTTACTTGTATCAGCATAACCATTTGAAATAATTTGTAAATTAATACGTGATGTTAAACCTGGATCACGACCACGTTCTTTCATTCGAACATGTCGTGGTTTATTTGTTGTTGATGATGAAGATTCTGTTTTGAGTTTTTTTATTGAAGACATTCCACGAATAAAATCTGCAATATCAATTGATGATGATGACGCAAAACGAATTTGTGTTCGATATAGCAGATTTTTTACTAAAGAAATTGAGAGCATCAGATATATGATATTGTTCTCATCTTGAAAAGAAATAACAACAAATAATAGTTAATTGCTTTTTTTTTATTAATGAATTTCGTTTTTCTTGATTTCATATTTCTATCACACATGAATATCGTGTAAGTTGATAAAAGTAATTCGTAATAGGATTTCATTATCATAAATTTTTATTATCATTGATTGGTAAATTATAGTTATTAATTGTTTTCGATAGATGTCATTTGGTGACGATGTATTCATTTTTTTTTTGTTCTTATGATTTTAATAATGTTACTTTTTTCATTCGTCTCACTTGAAAGCATGACGTTTCATGTTAGATTGCAAGACAAAACTCGTTATTCTGTTGTGCATGATTGGTTTTGTGAGCTCTTTTTTATTCGTTCTCTTTATATATTTTTCTAACCGTAGACCAAAAAGTGTAATTTCACCTATCTCACTCATTCACTCAATACAAGCAAACTAAGAGTGACAATAACCACGGTCATTATTATATTTATTATTCTTTATTAAAAATGTCGTTACCTAATATCGACGTTTCAGCGACACCAGTCAGTATAGTAGCTTATTCGTTTATTGGCATAACATATCTAGCAGTTTTATATGGTATCTATGGTGCTCTATGTACTTTTTTTCAATTTATTCGTGTTGGTCGAAAACGATTTTTTCAACGAGTAGATCGGCCATCACCACCATCGAAGGCAACGGATCCCATTTATGGAAATCATGAAATGATTAAATTAAAAGTATTAGTTTTTTTCTTTTCTTTCGTGCTTGAAATACAATTACTTAATTTACATGTATAACTCGTTTTTTAGTCTTCGGGTATATCACTTCATTATGTATCAAAAGGTTTACCAAGTCAACCGATGCTATTATTTGTTCATGGTTTTCCTGAATGTTGGTATTCATGGCGATATCAAATGAAACATTTTTCAAAAATTTATCGTGTTGTTGCTATTGATCAACGTGGTTATGGTCTTAGTTCGAAGCCACCTTTTGCTTTTGATTATAGAATTGAAGCATTAGCTGGTGATGTTGCTGATGTTATTGAACAACTTGGTTAGAATTGAAATTTTCTATTGAAAAATTTATTTTCTAATTGTTCTTGTTTTTTTTCTTCTCCAGGTTATACATCATGTACTTTAATTGGTCATGACTCAGGTGGTTATGTTGCATGGGCAACTGCAATACTGTAAGTTTAATGAGCTTCAATTTTTAATTGATTTTTATGGATTTTTATTTAATAGGTATCCACATTTAGTCGAGAGATTGGTTATCATTAATTGTCCACATCCAAGTGCTTTTCGTCGGGAATTAACATTAAGTCAAATACATCGATCATGGTTTGAATGAGATTTTGTTTTTATTTATCAATATTTTATATATGTAATTACAGGTATATGTTCTTCAGTTTAATTCCATTTCTACCTGAATTGTCGTTGCAAGCAGATGATTTTGCAGTTTTTAAAAAAGCTTTTCATGGAAAAACAACCGGATTAGTTAATAAAAATAATATAACAGATGAAGATATTAACGTATATAAATATACATTTTCTCAACCAGGTAAAAATCTATTCATATTTCATTGATATTTATTTTATTTTTTTATATCAAACTAGGAACAACAAAAGCTGCACTAAATTTTTTTCGTGGTTTATTTCATTATCAATTTGATTTTTCATCAACGGAAATTACTGCACCAGTCTTACTTTTATGGGGTTGTCCAGATCCAACATTAAATGAAGAACTTGCTAATGCTAGCAAAGAATATTGTTCTGATATTCGAGTGAAAAAAATTCCTAATGCATCACGTTGGATTAATCAAGATTTACCTGATGCTGTTAACAAATATATTGAAATTTTTCTTCATGAAATTCCTGATGTAGAATCAGGATATGATCTTTAAAAACGAACAATTTTCGTTTCTATGTAGTTCATCATTCGAATAAAAAAAACAAAATAGGTCTAATAAAATTTGTTTTCCAATTTATGTCAATATGTCTTATATTTGTATCATCCTTGAAGAGATCTATAGGTTAGTAGGCGTTGATCATCAAACAATTCATAATAAAGAAAGAAAAAGAAGAACAAGTACTATGATGCAGTCTACAAAAATAAATCTGTTGTTTGCATATATGTCATGTCCTATAAATATAGAAGATTGTCAGAAAAGAACAGTACTTCTAGTAATCAGATATCATGTTATTTCGTAATACATTTATTTTATTAGTATTATTTATTGTCCTTGGTATATTGATTGAATTTTTATTTTTTTGTTAATATGAATTTTTATTTGCTTAGTAGTTAATGAATTAAGAAAAAATAAAGTTGCTGGTTCATTAACAAAAACATCAAAGAATGATACTATTGACAAGAAGTTTCACTTGAATAAGAAGAAAAAGAAATCAACAAAGTTAAAACGTTAATATTTTCTTTTTTTGAAAATTCATTGAATATATTTTAGTTTATTTTAATAGCTTCATTTTGTTTGTTACCTCGAGACATTGGTCCATATCGAGCAACGAAAAAACGATTTTATTATGATTCAATAGCAAATGAATGTAAATCATTTACTTATGGTAAATATCAAGGAAATAAAAATAATTTTCGATCATTGATTAAATGTCAAAAAAAATGTAAAACATGAAATTATGTTTTATCTATTAATCGCATGTTTAACCTGTATTGTTTTTTTGATATAGTTATCCTTGTAAACCGACTTAGAAAAATTTTTACACTAAATGATTAAATAAAGCTCGAGCTTTTTTTTTTTTTTGTTTTCTATCAATGCGAACTATTGATGAAAATATAAATATTCTTTTTATGGAAAGTTAGAAAAAAAAGATAGTCATTATCTATTACGTTTCGGTCTGCTAGTTATACTCGTTTTACTTTTTAGTTTATTGATACACTTTTTTTTTTGTCACAGATAAAAAAGAGCCTAATGAGCATCAGGGTCGTAACGTATTGCAGAGAGCGCAAGGTATAACGCCCTTCTGTTTATGAAAAATGTCCTCGCTGCGTTCCTTTTTCTAGAACTCAATTATATATAAATATATTGAGTTACTCTAGATACACTGAAAAATTTAATCCAATAGAAGTTTGATTCTTTCGAATCATTTTTGAAAAACTAACGTTAGTGATGTCAAACAAAAGAGAATAGAGTTTGTTACGGCATATATAACCGTTGATAAATAGTATAAGCTCAAAAAAGTATTTTTGAAAAGTAAAGAATTTACTTTTTAGAGGGTTTTCCATGTAAAGATTTTTTTCTGAACATGTTTAGGTTTTTCGAAAAGTTCTATTTATTTGTTATTGTTAATGACATGACTGACTTTGATAATAGAAATGAAATTAGCTAATTAAAGTGTGATGCTCCGTTTTCGCTGATTTTGTCTATATAATAAATATAGTTCTTCAATATGCATGATGCAGAGAATTTATTCAGTAGTTTTCATTATTTGTCATAATATCGAATAAAAAGACACAAGAAGAAAAAGTAAGAATTATAAATAAAACTTTCACAAAAGATTTCTTTTTGAAAGAAAACTATTGGCAATAGTAACGTCTAGATCTTATCAAAGTGTTTTACAAAGCATAACAGGTGAGAAAAAAAAATGTCCAACATCGTTATACTTCAGAGACTCTTATTCAAATTCTGGTAGCATGGAGATATGGAAGACATTCTAATAAATAGATCATCAAGTTTTTAAATACCTCAATAAGTAGCAATTGTTGACTATTGTAGACTACTTTTTTTTCCAAGTAATATGTCCATTGATGATTTTCTCTTTCAAGAGAATGCTTTTAATGATTATTTTTTTAAATGATAGAATTTGTAGAAATTTATTCGATTAGAAAAATAATATTTAAGTTACACCAGATAACTATTCTAATAATACAAATTATTAGGTTCGATCACAATATAAAACTCGTATGATATTCTAAATAGATATTTTCATAGAAGTTTATGCACTGTGTTATGTAGCTAAATGTAATAATATATAATAAGTTGTATTGTTTTTATTTAAAAGTATACAAACGTTTTTATTTCAAAACCATGTCAAAATCAAGGCATAAGTATTGATATGTATAATTGAATCAAGTCTCTATTCGATTTAAACATATGAAACCTTATTTTTTGACTCTAACAACCGTCGTTATCCAATCGATTAGAATAGTACTGATTTTTAATGTCGTGTGTTCATTGAATTCTCACGAAAATATACAAATAATCTCATTATGAGTGTTTTTGGTACAATTAATGATACATCGTCTAAACATTTCGTAAGATCAATTTCATTAATTGTTTCCATTTTTGGTCGATCTAGAGCATCAACATTTATTTGAATTAGTATTTCACGAAATTGAACTTCTTTTCTTCGGATATATTTAATAAATTATCAACTATTTTGGATTAGTTAACAGAGGTTAGTAATAAATGTATTCTTGATAATATCAAAAACACTATAAGTTGCACATGACATTTACTTATTATAAAAGTGAGCATACAAATGGAACGTATTACTTTTTTTTTCAGATAAATCATAGAAGAATTTCTATCTTGTTACATGAAAATAATGATCATGGTCGTATATACATACCAAAAAAAAAAAAAAGAAACATTAATATCTAAGTTAATACAAAAGAAAAACATTGAGAATATCTAATCTATATCATCTGTAGATGACGATGGATAATAATTTAAGAATGTCATAACTGTTTCATTGTCATCAAATTTTAATTTTTTACATTTATTTTCAAATGGTAAAGGAACTGGTATTGGTTTGATTGTTAGATATTTCGAATCATAATTAACAATTTCTTGTCGAATGTCATTTTCTTTAGATTTTTGTTCATATTCATCAAGTATTTCCTATATGTGTATATATAGAAAGAATTTTATAATTAATTTATTATTTTATCTTACTTGAGAACGATAAATAATTAATTTATCTTTTTCTAACATTCGAATCATATTTAATGATGCTAATGTTTCAATAATATCACATGTTGAGATTGACGTTGCTTTACTAATATCTATTAATGATTTATAAATAAATGTCAGCATTAAAACTGAGATTACGGTCAATCTCGGATTGGAGAAGACATTTTCATTAAAGCTTGAATAAGTCTCTAGATCGGTATTTCCTTCGAATTCTTGTTAGTAAACTGTGATAAAACACTTATGAACGATTCTTCATAAAAACTGCTCTTCTGTAGAAAATCGCCCATAACTTCACGAATCTTAATTTATGTTCTCCATCGATTGCGATAACATCTGGAATACTATCCTTTTATTACAGCTCATTGATAAAGATGAACGAAGAATATCCCTGCCTTCCGGCTACCGATAGATATTCAATAAAAATTACTTAAACTTTCCATAGACACTAACTAGCTACCAGAACAGGTATATGTCACAATATAGTCAGCATACTAAGGGATAAGTGATTCAGGACATACAACTATTAGTGACTCTTACTACGGGTCATTTTAAGGCTGATAATATCAAGGTTAGAATACATGTCAGACTACGTAACTACTCAGCTATGAGCATGTTTCACCAACATTGACTGTAATTTAAGTTTAGCCGCTGACATAGATATAAACGATAGAAAAGATACGAACCATTTATAGCAATTTGTTCATCATTTGTTTTTGTTAAAAGATAATCAAATATTTTTGATTTCCAATATTTTCTATAACATAATAATCCTTGTGTTGATAAAGGACGTTCCGGTGTACCCGTATGTATATTAGCCAAACGACTAAGTGCATAACCTATTCAATATTTATTTTAAAAAATAAAAAAAAAATTAAATCTTAACTTACTAATATGAACCATTAAACTTCCAAAACCTCTATTACGATATGGTGGTAAAATTAATAAACATGAAAGATTAAGTCTTTCTTGATATTGAAGTTTAGAAAAAAATCCAGCAAATTCATATTGATTATCATTATGACAAACAGTCAAAACATAGAAACGAAAACGATGAACATTTTTTATTTCAACTTTACTTTCAATAAATAAAGTAGCCAAAAGACATAAATCTTCACAATATGTTTTTGCTTTCCAACCGCATACTTCAAAAATATTAACATCATTTTGTATATAAATTAAACAACCTGGTGGACGTGTTTGTGTACATTTTGTCTTAAGAAGAACAAAAAAAAAAACAAATTATAATTAAATAAAAAATTCATCAATTATTTCTTTACATGATGTCGTCTTGCTGATGTTGCTTGAATAGTTGTTTTTAAACAATATTCACAAACATATATTTTTTCTACTTGAAGCCATTCTTTTGGGCATAATGTTGTTCGACATACAGTTTCAAATTCATATCGACCAGTTTGAATCCATGGACGAGCTTTATTTGTAGTTGATGTATTATTTATTTTACTAGTATCGTTAGTCATGATCTTTGAAATTTGATCTAGAAGAATAAATCACTATGTTTTTATGTAATTTTTCAGAAATCTAATAAGAAAGCGGAACTCCTTCCCCTCATCTGTTACATACAGTCTGCGAAAATTTCAACTTATGATCGGAAAACTTTCTGCCAAGGTTTTAACTTCGTCCACCTCTGGAAACTATTGAGACTCCTGAAAATAGTTCATATATTATAATGAGATGTTACTGATATTCGATCTATGATATCGGAACCAGGGGGGGGGGGGGCCAAATTCTAACTTCAGTTTAGATCGTATTTTCCAAAAAACTTTGTTTTTAATAAACCAATAATCTTTATTTACAAAAACCAATAACAAGAAAATATAAATAAATAAATATATCATGATCCTTTCGTTTTTTTTCTAATTGATGTTGAATTATTGGTTGATTTAATATCTTCATCTTCTTTTTCTTCTAATTCTATCCATTTATGTTTAAGATTACTATCACCAATATGTTTTATTGATACTAAACGTTCTAATTCTTCATCATTAATAATACGTTTTAATTCAGCTAAATGTCTATGTGTTGATATATGTAATAATGGTCGTAGATTTTCAATAATATATTTTGCATCATTATCATAATCATTTTGCGTTCGTAAATATGATAATGTAGTTGAATAAGCAAGACATTCAAGTGCACGTAATTGTGCACGTTTTTGACGACGATTTGACATTTTAAAAAGAAAATCAAACAAACTACTATATCTACAATAAAGAGAAAATAATCAATTTTATAGATTCAAACATAAAACAACATTACACAAAAAGAAAACAAAATACAAAGAGTAGTTTTGTTAAAACTAGAATGTGTTCATTATGTATAAACAATTAAATATTAATCATGTAAATCTTTCCTTTGAACGTTGAGCTTGAACAATACCAGCTAATATAACAAAAACCCATGTAATAGTGACAAGGATAAAGTAAAACTAAAATAAAAGATATAATTGAATGAACATGAATAATATGAACAAAAAATTTTAAACATACGAAATTAATCAAATTACGAATTTGACGTCGAGAAAGATTAGTAAAATCAAGCATATTTTATATAAGATTTAATGATTTTTCTTGACAACTACAAAGCAATAATTCAATCTGATCAAACATCGTTCAAATGAACCAATAAAGAATGTTCTTATTTTCAATGTTTCTTAGCAACATTAGATGTCGTTTATTTTAAAAAAAGTTCAAATATTTTTTGATTATCTACAAAACACTTATGAAGAAAAAACAAACATTTTTCTGTTCAGAAAAAAAACGAACCTAGTAAACTATCTTATGGCTAGTATAAAATGATTCATCATTATTCTGATTGGATCATTTTGATACAATAATTTTCTCGATAAAAAATGATTCATACAATGACAAGAAAACTTGTTTATTATTATTTATTTCACAATCATTCCTTTCATCTATCATGTCCGTTAAAGTTGAATTACAGCATCAATTAAAAGAAATCGGTTATCAACTTGGTCCATTCACATCAAAAGATACATTATCTATTATAAGATGTCTTCATTCCGTAGTAAGAAAAAAAACCCAACAATTTTCATTTGTACTTTTTTACTTTTATTCATTAGGTATTAACAGAAAAAAAGATTAATGTTGCAAAATTAAATGATCTTGAGCTTCGAACCAATTTAATTCAACGTGGTTTTCTTGTTGGACCTATTACAAGTAAGAATTTTTATAATAATTTCATATAAATATACATTAGTTTTTAGATCATACTCGTGCTATTTATCAACGTAAATTACTTGAAGTATTAACTAATCAAACAACAAATGGTAAATAAAATTTAATTTTTGATCATGTTATTTCATTTTATCTATGTTCTTTTTTAGGACAAGATGATGAATTTGAAATCGATGAATCAATTCATCAAACTCAATATGATATCAATGAAAACAATAGTCTCTATTCTAATTCAAAGGATTTTCAAAATGTTGAACCAATGATTATTCGACATAATTATAAAGCTTCATCATCATCATCTAGAAATGCATCAAAGCAAAATACTTATGAGTAATTTTTTTTTTTTTTTCATCAAGATTAAGTTTGATAGTTTTTTCTTTAATAGAGAATTAAATGAAATACGACCACGTGTTGTAATTAAATCAAATGAAATTAAGAAAGATATTACGTCGAGAAAAATAAAAGATGAATTTACAAATAAAACTAATAAATTACAAGTTGAAAAAAAGAGTGACTATTTATTCTTTAGATCATATTTATTCATCTATATGATTTGTTTTGTTTAGGTAATGGTATATTTGCTTATGTTGCTATAGCAATTATTGTTGCCGTAATTGTTTTTTTTGCTTATTTATGGTTTGAAAAATGAAACTCAATTTTCGATTTGTTTATATGTCTTTAATAGTGATTGTAAATCAGTGTTTAATACTGTTTTTATTTGTATTTTTGTTTTGATAAAACAAGAAAATGAATAAATAAACATATAATGAATTATTAGCAGATATTATTTAATGTTATAGAAATCTAAACAAAACAATATTTGTTGATTTCTTTTCGTTGAAAAGAATTTTCAGTCTTGAGAATTAATAATCTTCTTATAATGTTTTGTTTTTTTATTGATACGGTAAATCTACTGAGGCAAAGCGAAAGTAGTAGCAAAGGCTTTTTAATCGAAAAATATCATCCAAAAAAATTTTTTCTAATACAGTAAAGTTATATTACGACCTGGATCAAATATCACTACAGAACTATTGAGAGTATTGTTTTGTCGAATTTGATTTTCTCATCTCTTGAAAGTGTTTCGATTCAACACTTGTTCATTTAAAACTCACTGGATCATTTTTTTTTTGTTCTATGAACTTAACATGTTATAGATGATTACTATATTATGTAAAATTCATCTGAGTTGCACTACTACAAAAAAAAAATAATCATATATGAAAAAATAATTGCTGTTGTTTTAACAGTATCGTTATAAGTTAAAGCAAATAGCTGAAAGTCAATTGTTGAAATCAGAAGATTTATTTTAGTTTGCTAGAGCATCAGTGGCAGCAGCTCTCAATCGATTGACTTACATCTTTAATCCAGAATGAAAATATTGTTAATAGACATATGTTTACCAAATTTCATTCTAATTTGTTAATTTATAGAACAAAGAATTATTGCAACACGTATTTTGAATTAAACTCATAATTGATCTATTGAAATAAAATATAATTAAACATTTGAATTCATAACTTGTAGTTTCTCATATTTTTCTTTTTCTTTCATGTTTTACACATTGTTTTCTTTCTTCTATAATAATATGTGCAAAATCGCATGTAATTTTGCTCATTTTTAATAGAGAGACAAAATTGTATTTAGAGGTAAATAAGAATTTCTAATTGAATTTAAAACAGTGAAAGCAACAAATATAAAATTTGATCTACAGTGAGTATGAGATTTGAAGAAAAAAGAATCAATAATACAATATGTGATATTTTAGTAATGATACCCAATGGTTACCATCAGGTAAATTATATATAGTATTATGGATCTTAAAATGATCTATGTTTATATGTAAATTTCAATACTTTTAGTAATATTTTCTGGATATGTGACATTGTCATTGATAGAATACATGAAAATGAGTTTCTGCCTACGTTTCTTAATGTAACAAAAATTATTTTGTTTGAGTAGAATTTAAAATGAAAGAATTTAATTATTAACAAATGCCTAAGGGTTTGTTTCAATTCAGGTAATTAAAAAAGAAATTCTCAATAGTGGATGAAACATTCCTACTCTCATTTTATTGGTGTTTCATTCATCGAGTTTTACTAAAGACTATTTAGTTTCGCTAAAATTATTAAAAATAAATTATGCATTATAATAGATAGAGAATCGATATTTGTGCCTAGAAATTTTCTGTTTATAGCTAAAGATTAATTTTGTATTAAAGACTCCTGAGTTCAAGAGCTATTATTCTATTCACTTACATAATATTTATCTTGTATAGAAACTATAAAATGACAATGGAGATATGTTTACTAATGTGTTTGTTCTTCTATTTCGTCTACTTGTCNATCTGGTAAACAAAGACTAATATCATCATAAACAGTTGATATACTTTTACTACGTTGTCGTAATTCAGCATCATTTAAATGTTTATCATGTTCAGCTAATGCTATATCAAGATCATATGGACAACCTGTTTCTAATGTTTCACTTAAATAGAAATCCCATATATTAAGTGAATACATTTTATATGATGGACGAACAACACAACTATCATTTGATGTTGAATAAAGAAAATTATAAAATCTTGAAGATTCTCGATTGACTTTTGTAATATAAACCCAAATATTAATTGTATTAGATCGATATAAACCTAAAGAACAAAGTGGCAGTTTTGCGCGATTAATAAATAGACTAAACTTACTACTAATTTCATCAGTTGTTGCATCACCAGTAGTATCAACATACCAATTTCGATCTTTTTTTCGTTCACAATCACAATCAAGTATAAAATTTTTAAATCGATTTGATAGATGATGATAAGCAAGAAAACCGAAGATAATATTCATTAAATTCAAATTGTATTGGAGATTGATTCCAAATCTTTTAAAATTTTAACTTTAATTTATTTTAATAAATCTTACTTGATGAACAAGATCAAGAAATTGAAGAAAAATCGGTGCAAAACTAATTCTATTTGTAGCTGTTTGATTTGATCGATGTGAAAATCGATGTCCAAATTTCAAACCATTCATGTTCTATTAATCTGTGAAATCCTTCAAATATTCGATAATATGGATCTAATAATAATTCACTTATTGAAATGAATTGAGCAGCTATATCCCAACCATCTTCAACACAAATCATAACTGATAATGCATGATCTTCACTAAATTGAACGATATATACACTTATCATTAAAATATTTTTTAACTAAAATAAACAGATTAAGTTTAAATCTACTTGATAAAGCCATCGAGATTCTTCAATAAGTTTATAAACTGACATTGAATTCTGTAATGTAACTGATAGTATATTAGTTCCATTACTATTCGCATGATTATTTGAAATATTCTGAGCACAAGCATGTGTCATTTTTTTAAAACTTGCTTATATTTGACTAACATCATGAAATTCAAGTAGAAGAAAACAATAATTTTGAAATTGTTCAAGACGACCAGTCTGAAATGATTTTAAAACCCAAGTATTTACTTCAAAAAAATTTCTTACGCGATATTGGGCTCGGTCTCCAACAATATAAAGTGGTGAACGTTTATGAACTTGTAAAATCGATTCATTAAAATCAATATCAAAATTCGTCCATCCACTTTCGTCATCGCCTTCATTTGTCGTCGCCGATGATGCTGTTGGTGAAATCATTGATGTATAACTTGCTGTTTCATTTGAAGGTAATGTATCAAGATTAGCTGAAATATTCGATATTTTAAATTTTTAAATAAAAAATTTCATTCAAAGCAATAAGCTGAGGATAAAAAGCGGATGCGAATAGGTCGGAAAAGGTAATGGTCATTCTGGATATTTTTACCCATTGTGAATCGCATATTATCTGTTAATGTAGCATTACTCGAACTTTTGAAAAGTATATTTATTAATCGAATATTTGAAAGATTTTCATTCGATTTTTCTGCGAACGAAATATACATACCGAATTTTATAAATAAAAGCAAAAATGTTAAACTTACTTGTGCGTGGACAATTGGATAAGACTCGTGTAGGTAAAAGATTTTGTAAACGATTTATTGCTGAATGTGCTGTTGTTCCAACGGATAAATGACGGATATCAATCGTTTCCGGTTCATTTAATTCGAAAAGTTGAAATTAAAAATATGTGAAATGTATGTTTATTTTCGCTAAATATGTCTCAAGCAAAAGAAATTTATTTATCGTACAGATTCAAGTGAGTTCAGCATTTATTATTTTTTGAACTAAATGCATAACAAATTCTTTTCTTTTCTATTTATTGAATAAATCAAAATAGAAGTTCATTTATAACAAAGGAAAGTTAACATAGAAATCTTTCAAATGTACGAATGTTCCGATCATATTTAGTCGCTTCACCTTCGCACAATTCCGTCGTGTTTCTTCTCTTCTAAAGTTCTTTGTGACAATTCTCAAGCTCTGATAATAAGTTGTTAATTCAGTTAGACATGGTACATATGTTTTTGTTTCATTTAAAAATTGTTCAAGATAATCAATACATGCAGTTCGCACGTTAAGTGAAGTAAGATAAGGATATTCAGCAATTGAATATGATTGGGTGTAGTCAGATGAGAATGCATTAACATTAGATGCTGACTGTGATTTAGTATTTATAACACGAAGATTATTCAGTAATGGAAAAGCTCGGCTAACTCGAACAAAGAATTCATGGTTGAATGGAACTACATCTTGTACCAGTAAATACGTGACATACTTGAATACAATATCTGGAAATATGTTGCCAATACTTTCGAGACGATCAAATGCAAAAGGAAGTGAGAAGATAGAACATACAGCTGTACAATCTATATAGCTATTGATATAATTTATAATAGTAGCCATACGCTGATGCCCAACATATGTGGCATTTCGTTGGATATCTTGACTAGGCACATAACGAAATAAATCAACAGTATTGTCATAAGTACAAATATAAAAAGTAAATAAATGAAGTTGTGGCATATAAACATGAATTTCATTTTCAAGATGAATTTTATCGATGAATGTATCTCTATTTTTTATACGAAGATATAAAGTTAAGTTTTCCAAATATGACATACGACGAAGAAGAGGTAAAATTGTCTCATCATATTGACAAATTTGAACATAACATTTTAATGAGAAACATTTCAATTTAGGTAAATTATCCTAAATAATAAATAGGAATATTTATCAATGTCTATACATATATCTTAATCGCGCTAAAAAAATGAATGACGCATATAATTGGTTCACAAACTACCTAATACTTCTTTTTTTTCGAAGTGAACATTGTCTGTTAATGATGACTACGGCAATTCAGTAGATTTCCTTTTACAATCTCAGAACAAACTTTAATTTGATTTTTTCCTTTTTAAATAAATCGAAATTGGTAGTCAGCTTCATCTCATAGTCGACATTATTTGTTAAAACTTACCATGTTGTGAACAATTGATGAAAAGTGTATGTATTGTAATCGAACAATTAATGTAGTTAATTGTTTGAGTCGACCATCAAGTAAATGAAGACAATCATCTAAATTGTACGTATTGATACATAAATGAGTAAGAGTTGAAGAGAAGAAAGTAGTCGATGGTAAATCATCAAGTATCAAGCCTGGATATGACGAATTGAATCCTTCAATAATACTCAAATGTGTTAAATTTTTAAAGAACTTCAAAATATGTCCATACACATTTATAGTATAATTTCTTAATGATCCTATCATTTTCTTTTTGTCATTATTTATAAGAATAAGATTTGTAATTTGTTGTTGGAAGATATGTCGAAGAGATGATTCATCTAAATAAAAAAAAATGAAACATTCTATTGTCTGTTCTATTTAACATCATTCTTCTGCTATTCTGCTTACTTGTAAAATAAGATAAAACGATTTCTCGTTTGAAATTAAAAAGTTTGAGGTCAGTTGGATCTGGATAGTCGACGGCAAGAAGAATACGTTCCATTGAAACTGGTTCAAGAATGAAACATTTCACATTGTAATGAATTTTTGGCAATATATCGATGCAAAATCGATCAAGTTTGCACTGATCAGTTGAAGAAGTATTGTCAATGGACAGAAAATCGAGAGTGTTACTAAAGGTTTTTTCTTGTGCTAGAATGTTCAGTCGTTCATTATCAATGTTCAAAAATGAGTAAAGAACATAAATATTGTTCAAGTTTTTCAGAATGATAAGTAATATCTCATCAGGTAGATCCAATAGATGAACATCAGATCGATTCATGTTTTATTTTGACTGCAATGTTTCTCTCAAAGGGAAACGTTTATATATATGATCATTGTTTGTTTATAACCACTTTCGTCATTGTGGAATAGAACAGATAACCTCATTGAAAAAGTGTAACGTGGATACGTCGTTCAATTAGAATATAGTCATCAAATGCTGCTTTCTTTTCGACAATTTATCACGGGTACACGGTCGTCCATCGTGTTCATCTACACGAAAATAGAAGAAGACATACTAAGAAATAGAAAACAAAATGTTTATTACACAAAAAACTAATGGAATTCCATTCGCATAATATGTGTTTTGCAGTTCATATGTTTCCCAGTCTTGATAAACTCTGAATTTCAAGAGAGATGACATCATGTATACAATGAAATAATATATTCTCGAAGAAAAACAAAGCGCAGGAGCGATTAAAACATAGACAATAACCTCAATAGGAAAATTATTGAACAACGGTTGGCATCTACTTTCATATGTTTGAACAGTGAAATATTTAAATCAAAGAACAATATATAAAAAAATTCTAATATTTTCCTTTGTCATTTTCTAAAATTTCTCATCAATCCTGGCATCTTTAAGAACTGAAGTTATTTTGTCCCATATGTCTTACGCTGTTCATCATATTTATTACAACTCATTTTGTTTCTCCCGTATAGTCAAATAAATAATGCTCAATCATTATGTTGTGCAGTATTTTATCCAGCGGGGGAGGGCAGGGGAGAACGCAGCCCCCTGGAATTTACTTTTGTTTCGCCCTTCCGGAAGGAAAAGTTTGGATAAAACACTGATCTTGAGTATGCAATAAGAATGTTTCAGACCTGTCAGACAATGTATAATAGAGGCTTCATTTAGGCGCAAAAAGATATTTGCTTCAAAACTATAAAAGATTTTTCGATTCAATCGTTTGTTGCTGTATTCCTAGTGAAATATTGAAGTTCTTATTAATTGATAATGCGAGAAGTTATCGTCCACAGCTAACTTCTAGAGCACTCGTTGATCAAAACATTATCTATAAAGGGTGTTTCGGAAGTTCTGAAACGATTTTAAAATTCACCGTTCTCGCATTCTACAAAAGCAAATTCGTTGAAACTTTGGTAGATTTTTGTACATATATAGNTCCACGTCGTTTTCTCCTTGTTCGATAGGCAAATGAACAATTTACAGTGTGGGTGTAGGTGTGATAGAAATACTAATGTCGCAATTCACATGAGAACTCAGTTCGATTTGGAATGTACGAACTAATTTTCAAAAATTCTCTTAGAAACAGATTTATAATATGAATAACATCATATAAACAAGATGAACAAATTGATTTAGATAAGAGTTCATAAAATAAAGTCACATTATATACACTAATTCAAAAGTTTTAATGTTGTTCTGGACTTTTTTCTTTTACTAATAGAAAAAAAATGTACAGCTCTTGTAGTATACACATTTCGATTTTTCTGACTGCTCTATTTCATTCTCCGTTAATGAGAAATAGAGATTGAATAAATTCTTTACTCTGTAGTCATTTTATGGTTTTTAATCTGTTTTCTTAAGTTTAAGCAGATTCTCATTGCTTTTTTTTATTTGATAAGGTTTGCCGTCTGTTTCGTTTCCGTTTAGATAATTTTAATACGAATAGCAAAACCTTCAGAAATAACAAGTGAATTGGTGTGCTATCAAAACAAACCGATAAAAAAAATTATCAAAAAACTAATTAATGTCATATATTATCAATTATCCTATTTAGACAACAAATTTAAAGCTTTCAATTTCACTAATACTTACAATCATACAGTATATTTTAATATTATAATTATAAGACGCACATGTGGTAAAATCCAACATTGGTTTTAAAAATTGCCTAGATGAACTCCCTTCTCGTGTGAATAGTTTAAAAAACAACACTTTTTTAAAAAGCTTTGATTACACATTCAATGTTCGTATATGGCAAAAATAGAAAAATACTGTCGAAATATATATTTCATTGAGCGAAATAAATCTTTTTCGAATTCTTGAGAATTTATCATGATTAATTATTCAAGTAGATTATTTTTTTCATACCGACATAACTTTGAAGTTCAGCAAGTTCACTAGATTCATTATATAGAATAACGAAAGTACATCGATAAACTTACTTCCTGTATCCACAACACATCTTCAAACCTTGCAAACATTAAGAGACTATAATCTTTCAACACAATCATTCATCATGGGAACCGTTTACAAGAGACACCATCGTTAGAATCATTCAAAGAGACCATTTCGTTGCTCTATTCACTTTCATTTTATCTACTTCTTCATCTCCGAAAAAGCGATACGACCGATCCCTATGCTCAACCGACCATTACTCGACAGAACTAAATAACGTGCAGACTGGGCATCGAACGATGAAGAGCTTTACTCGTAATGTGAATGTAGGCATGTGTCTTGTGTTGATGTAGAGGATGTGTGAGTGAAGAGAGTTTCCACACTCAGAGTCCCATATTTCAAACCCATACCGCATCCTGTCTATCATGCGTTTTGTTTCGCCAATGACGTTCTTGAATCTACCTTGGAAGCTCATCTGTAAATAAAAAGAAAGTGGTATTGTTCGATACTGGTGTCGCCGTTTTCTCTTCCGTTCTACTGAGCACAATAGCGTGGGTCTTTTGTTTGTTCTCGTATTGATTCAACAAAAATTTTGCTCACGTCTGCTCGATCTTGGTAGCTGTATTAACGTTGAGATAAGAAAGATCAAGTGACGGCTGTGACTGTGCATGATGGCAACAGTCATACTTCGACACATGGCAACATCCAACCCACACCATAGGCCTAGACTCATACCTGCATTTCACACCCCCATAAACTACATCCTGTCTTTTTTATAGTTAAAAATTGAACAGTAAGAATCAATATCAACACATCCTAGCATTGTCGTTAATACTTTGAATGCTTCATCAATATAATTGAAATAAAGACGTACTATTACATCGTAGTAATTTAACCAGATCATTGTCCCACTACTTTCAACAAGATCAGCATAAAGTTAGTCTTCATTAAGATCTGTTTCTTGATGTGAACCAATAAGAATAGAATCAACCGATTGTAACAACCGTCATGTTGATTACCGGTTTTATCTACTTAGGCAATATATCTTCTTGTACTAGCATTCCAAAGAGTTTCATCAAAGAGTCATTTGTAGTTTTTCACTAAAGATTGATAAAATTCTTTATTTGTTCATTTCCAATAAAATTTTCTAACTCAGCCATATTCTTAAAAGCGTAAAAAGTGTTAATACTATCTATACGTATTGCTGATCGGATTTCATTTGATACATGCATGCATTTAGACGAATTTTCTCTGATGCTCCATCGTCAATCATATTGATTAGTATTCCAAAAGATCCATTGATGTTGTAAATCATAAAATTCATCACTAATCCGAGCAGCAAATCGAGATTATTCATCGAAATAGTTAGGAGCTAAAATCACATGAGATCATGTTTTTGAATCCATCTAAGACTAAATAAATCCATCAGATACGTCATCTTTTAGTTATTCTATTTATTCCATTATTTAGAAATCGAAAAAGTGTTGTTTTAGCATAATGTCGATAATCATTTCAATTAGCCCAACTAAATTTTATTGCACCGGATTCTATCCATGTTGAACTATCTTCAAATTCATTATCGGTCATATCAAAATTGTTCTTCACAATGCCCATAACCTGACTAGAAGACATTTAGTTATTCTGTCAGAAATAAAGAACAAGAGTTATTCGGTTTTGAATATGGTTGACCTGAGCACTTTCTTCCTAATATTCTATGAAACATTATTGCCCATATAATTAAAAAAACAAGATTTTTTTGTGGAGTATTTTCGAGAGTAAAGATATTTATATCATCATTACACAATGTTTGTATTCTTTTCGTACCTTTCTTTATCAGAAATAAGTATCAAGCTCGCCGTTGAAATAGATAACAAAAGTAACAGCTTTTTATGTAAAATACAGAACAATTCAAATTCGAGAAAAATAGAATAATTTTCTGTCGATTATTCCAATTGATTTCGAGTAGATTATCCAAAATCAATAAATGGAAGGAGAAAATGATTTATTCTTGTTTTTCTTAAAAAAAAGTAAAATTTATCAATCATTCGCAATATGCAATATCATAGTCGGGATTAATTGAAAAGTGAAATCTTGTTTCTATTTATATGTAATTAAATATTCAGCATATGCTTGTGCATCATGATAAGTAACAAAAATATGATTTCCATCTGTTGTTGAATCGAATCCCACAGGTCGAGTTTTCATTGACTTATTTCCAATGGTTGTTTTTCCAACAAGAACACGAGCAAGAAACATACATCGTTCTCCATTGGAATTTGGTTTCGTAAAACGATGACTATAAGCTCCACTGGATGAAAAATAAACTCCAACACCATATGCTGTGCCTAAAATGAATATACATATATTTGATAGAATGTACAAAAAAAAAACAAATCAATACCATTAACACCAGCAAAACTTCTATTAAAACAATCATGCATAATCGAATATGCTGCAGCTTCAGGACAACCGTGATATAAAAATTTTTCAGTATCTTCATTTAATCGTTTTTGAAAATCTCTCGCATGTGCTAAATATTGCATATACCATCGTTCATTTTGAATTCGTTCAATTTTAATGATTTCTTGATAGTTATTTTTCATTGTCTCATCAAAATCCATAACAATCGATTTATATTCATTTGTATTTTTTGATAAAATAAATTGCATTTTATCTTCGTTTGATGTTTGCCAAGTTGAAGGTAATTTATAATCTATTGGTTCGTGATTTGATGCTAAAAGTTGTTTACAAAATTCATCATAAACATTTTGTTCATTAGGATGAATGATAAATGTAACTATCCATGGTAATTTTCTATTTTGAATTTGTTGTTTCATTTCTGTAACCATAGTTTTAACAACAATATCAACAGAACAAGCATGTTCTCCACATCCAATAGCTGGAAATGCAATTGAAGTAAAATTATATGAATTAACATTTTGAATAAGATTCCATATGAGATCAATTATTGATTGTCGAAGAATTTCAGGATCTTTATTAGGTTCCCATTTAAGAAAAAATATTCTTTTACAAGGTAATTGACCTGGTGGAGTAGAAATAATTAATGAATTTGGATTAACGCGAAATTCTTCACTGTAAGCATCTTCAACTTGTTTTCCTCCAGCTTCTAGTAAAACTTGTCTTAAATTTTCTGATGATGAACTTCCTAGAATAACATCAACCTATCATTGAAAAAAAGAAAACTAATTAAAAAAGGCAAAACTTTTTGAATTGATAAAAATGATTACTTCTTGTTTTGTAATATCTCCTTTTTTAACTTCTATTTTTCCTTGTCCTACTTTTATTGACATTCGTTTTGTTGTTGAGATTTTGTCTTCTCCTTGAAGTAACTTAATTTGCTTTTGGAATTCATCACATATATCTGTTCTATCTGGATGAATAACAAATGAAACCATTAGTGGATATTTAGTTATTTGTCGTTGAACTTGTCTAACAAGTATTTGAGCTACATGACTAATTGAACAACCATATCGACCACAACCAATTGCTGGAAATGCAATGCTTTTATAATTTTCACTTGCTGCTTTTTCCATTACATTTGAAACTAAATCTTCAATTGATTGACTAAGTATACTACTATCGGCGTTAGGTTGCCATGCAACAAAATAAACTGCTCTCGCTTGAAGTCTATCATCTATAGTGATGCTAATAACAGGTTCTCTTGGATTTTCCTTGTATTTGATTTGAAAAGACTTTCGTAGAGATGCTCCACCTGCTTCAAGAACACTTTCAAGTAAAGATTTTGATGAAGTACATATTACAATAACATCCGTCTAAATAGCATTCAAACAATATTCACCTTTTTTTTTCATTTTTACAGAACTAAACTTACTTGTTGTGTTAGCAGATTACCTTGAATAACATTAAAAAATTTGTTCGAAGCTTTTCCCTTTATCAGTTGCTATGAAAAAAAAAGCAAATAGTTGTTCACATAAATAAAACTAATTCAAACGAGGCTTGATAGTTTTAAAAAGTATTCTTCTTTTCTTTATTTTTCCAGTGATTGTCACAAATTGCGACAGAATCTTCACATATCACCACACAAATACATATATAATAACTCTAATTCATAATACTTTTATGCTCATAATCTCGTTATTTTAAAGTTAAACATGAAGGTAAAAATCCATGAAAAGGATATAACACCTAACTCAGTCTTTGAATTTTATATTCATTGTCAATATAATAAGATGAGGGTTAACATCGGGTAATGTAAAAGTTGGTTAGAAATTTGAATTATCTTCATCTCAACTACAACTTGTATCAACTAGTGCGAACCTAGGGTGTGGGTATGGGTCATACTTAGTAATGGTATGCATTTAGCGACTTCACATCTGTAAGGATGTGAGCATGGGTGAGTATGGTTCAAGCAGTCCACAACCACAGTCACACCCACACCCTCTAGCCCACATATATAGTTGTTCTCATTGCCACAATAAAGAAAGTTAGACTGTATTCATCGAATATAACTTCCTTTGGTTTTTAGAAAGAATCAATTATCAAACAAGTTGATCTGTCGAACAGACTGAATTTTTTTGTTAGATATGCGTCTTTTTAATACATTCTATTTTAAAAGTAATATATAGGATTTTTTTTTCTTGATTAGGAATCTAGAATACATCCTAGAGATGCATCAACTACTGTATAGATTTGATATTCTCGATTTGTCTTCTATGATTGAAATATAAAGATCGATGCAATAAATAATTTAAATCCTAACCTGATTTGGAAGATCCAAAATGTCCCCATTCCAAACATCATCATATTTTAAATTATATTGATTGAATTCATCTGTAGAAATAGTGTCATTGAGTTTTACTTGTTTTAAATATGATGTTGTGAGTAGTATTAAATCAGAATTAGGTGGCAATTGAAAATTATTCACAAGTGTTAATTTTTCATCATTCAATATAAGTTTTGGTATCCATCTTAAAAAACCTTCAATTGTATTTTCTTGATTAGTAAATGTAAAATTTTCAAGATTGAATGTTATTTTCTCATTATTGATAAAATCCAAATTAATAGTTATATATTTTCGTCGATAATTCATTGCTCTTTCAAATAAAAAATTAATTTTATCATTAGAATTATACCATGAATTCAGTTGTATATTAGTTTTTATCATATCAAATACTTCTATTGAAGATGAAGAATTTGTTATTCCTGTTGGATGTCTAATGAACATAATTTGCCATTGTGAATAACAATGAAAATTAAGAAGAGATGAACCTCTACAACGAACCCAAGCCAAATTTTCAATATGATCATGATTTTTACCTGATCGTAAGAACTGAACTATTGATACACTAAATGCTTCTCGAGATGCTTTTAAATGGATTTCACTAATGAATTTCTTATCAGAATCAATAATTAAAGCTTGTTGAAGTCGAGATGATGAATCCGGTGTAAATGGAAACCATCGATCATGAGAAAATGGTTTATATTCCCAAAAACAATCAATAATTGCTTCTGGACTTTTTTCGATTTCTTCAAGAATTGTTCTTTTTGGAAGAATATTTGAATTTCTTGAATAACTGAACAGAAGAAAATTGGTAAAAAATTGTCGAATATTTGGTTTGTTTTGTCCATTTTCAATGGGAGTTTCAAATGCATTATTTAATATAAAATAATCAGCTCCATGTTGAATTAAATATTCTACAATTTGTAAATGCCCATGAAAACAAGCTGCATGTAATGCTGTTGAACCGATTGTTGCTTTTAATGTTGATAAACTACCTCTGTCAATATAATCTTTATTTTGTGTATTAACTGAACATTTACCCATTTCAATAAGATATCGAACTAAATTAAAATGATTCTTTCTTGCTGCAGAATATAAGAGAGTTGTTCCATAAAGACCAGATTTATCTTTTAATTTTGGATAGTTTTTAATGAATTTTTCTATCATGTTTTGATCTCCATTCCATGCAGCTTGACAAGCCTCAGATAAACTTAATCTACCTTGAAGATCATGTAAAAAATGATATAATTTATCTTCTGTAAATGACGTGGAAAATATTTTTTCTTCAGCATTATAATTATATTCATTTAATTCGTCAAAGAGATAATTTCGACATTGAGAAGATAAAGATGAAAGATTGTCATCTAATAGACCATTTATTTTCTCCTGAAGGTTACTTAATATTTGTTTTTGATTAGATTGTCTTGATTGTTTTTTTAAATTATTAATTGTATCAGAAATAGCGTGGATAATTAATTGTAGACATTGTTTTAATTTTTTTTCATCATTTTCACTCGTCATTTTTCGCAAAAAGTGTCAGAGTAAAAGTAACGTTTTGGTCTGTGCAACAATGTTTATCAAAAACAAAAAAAAAAAAACAAATGATGCTATGCGAAATGAGAATTGAAGAATTCTTTTGCTTTTCGAAGCTTCATAATATTTGCTTAAGATGTTTTTTTAGTTTCTTCGTTTCAATGACGAAAAAAAAAAGTTGACTAGCTAATGAAAGACAAAAGATATTTTACCTATTCAAACATGAATAAAATAATAAATCTTTCAGAGAAAGGTTTAAAACCCAAAGGAAAAAGTACATCAATTTTCAATGATATAGATGTATGTGTAGCTGTAGTAGGCAGTTTATATCGATATGTGCGGTACGGTACGGGTGTGTTGTGGGTATGAATTTGCGTTGTTTTTTCTCTCACACTCACCCTTTGTAAAAAAAAAAACTGAGTATATTTTTTATCATTGATCACAATTTATTTTTAATATGAAAATGGAAGTTTCATATTTTGTTTTCTTAAGAATAGTCATACTTACTACACAAGACAATGGTAGTTTGATGTGTTGAATTACTTTTCTTTGCATGCGCACATGGTCGTGCAAAAAATCTATGAGTTGCGTAGAAAAAGAAAAAGAAAGAAAAATAAATCTGACAATAGGCAACAGGTAGTCTCATAGAGAATGAAACAAAATTCAACGAGAATAATAAAATGGATTATATTGTTTCCCGTGTCGTTTCATTTTTCATTCAAATTCACAGTTGACTTACATCCTTAAAAAAATATTTGTGAAAGCAACTTACTGATTTTTAGTAATTTTGTACTAATTCTTCTACTTAATGAACGTTAACTGTGATGAAAACGTTAATTTCTACCGCAAAAAGAAGTCGATTGTAATGTGTCGCAGCAACTTTCTCTATTAATTCATTTTTCTAACTAATGGCTATTATTGTAGCACCATCTTTAATAAATGGCTAAACTCTGAGACAGTGAAAACAATTGCTGTAGATATTATTGATGGCTTGAGCACTCTCACACATACTAGTAAACGTGATTTTTACTTATACCTGGTATTTCTCTGAGAATATAGAAATAATCATCCTATGAGAAATAAAAAAATCCTCAAAAAGAAGAATCACAGTTGATCGACAGATTTGAGAGATGATCGTGACATGAATTTAACAGCACAATATATCTTTTAGATTCTAGAAAATACATAGTTTTCTAAAAAAAACAAATGAAACTTCTATAGAAGAATATATCGGTAAACTTTGACAGAAATATTTTTTATGGATGATCAAACATATAAATGTGACATATCCGAAAATACATAAATCATAACTATCGGAGGATCCTTGTTTCAGTTAGATCTAATGAAAATAATATTCAAAATGAATACTTTTTTCATAACAATGTAGTCTGTGCAGATAATTATCAAAATAATTTTGAACTACATTTCACATCTCTAATCTTTCTGTTTCCAATTAATATGGACGCCAGCAATGTCAATATAAGTGATTCACTATCAGTCTTCTCTATTGTCAATCATAGATTCATACGGCACAGGAATGACACTTTATATTCACTTTAGCAAGTAAAGTAAAGTGAAATACAATACTTAAAATTAAATATAATGCTTTGGGTATGAATGTTTTCTTCTCCAGCTAGTCATACCCACCAAAGAAAGAAACCCAATCGAATCGAATTGAATCAAGGTTTTCTTACTCATTTCAACTTTCAGTCTTTTATATCCAAATCCACACTGTTCTAGTCGATATTTACATGCGTGCAATTGTTATGACTGCCTTTGGTTGAGATAGTGCAATTCGATGATAACAAAACTAAATATCAGGCACACAAATAGGGTTCAACGATTGAAAAGAAAGACGAGGGGCGTAAACAAGCTTTTTGAAGTGGGGATCGATCTTTCTTTCGTTTCAGAGCACAAGCTGCATTGCGATGATAAGCGAAAATTTTATGACACAGCCATTGTTTGGCTATCAGCAAGCAAGAAATAAAAGTCTTCAACATTCTGGGCAGGGTGATTCGCTTTTTGCGTCTCTGCTAAACACTGCAGTTTAGCCGTGTATTTTTTTATGAAAGAAACCAAAAGAAAAGATGTAATGTCATCGAAGAAACGAAAACAAAGTTCACCAGGAATAAACTAACCCTTTTGTAGGTGTCGTAAGCAGCGTTTACACAAAAGCATTCAATAGTTTAAAATACCAAATATATTCATTGGGTTTCTTAGAAAGCTGTTCGCATAGCACAATACCCAAACTTGCGAAAATTCATGCACATGTGATTCCAATATTCTCAGCCGTATCAAAACTAAATAAGCAGTGTATACGTTGGTATAATATCAATTATATTTATTTTTGTTGTACTCGCTATTGTTCATAGTCTTGGTTTGTATAAGAACTACTCTAAGAAAATCTCTCGCAGAAAACTAACTGAGAAAACTCATTTAAGAATCAATAAGAATATACCAAGTGACGTGACTCATTGGTAAATTTCATAACCATATGCTTTTTCTCTGTTAACTAACGCAAACAATGACACAGTTGAATCTGGTTTATTTCGTCTAACGCATAGTAGTGAAAAAACAAATGTTTCGAAACATGTACTGCAAGTCGAGATTCAGACTCAGGTAAGAAAAAAACAACTATTGTCGTCCCATTCGCAATGAATCATCACTATGAAGAAAAGCATGCATGCGGATGACATGATGCAATTACTTTATTGCGTTTCTTTTGCATATAAAACCTTACATATTATTTCTTGCTTACTTGTTTTTCTCTTTCACAACTACCACTGTCACAAAAACATAAGACATGCTACCCGCTTCTCAATCTACAACGCCAGGAAATACGGTTGATGATTGTACCATATGTCTAAGTGCTCTTGCACCAGGCACTCCTCTCTTGACTTTGTCCTGCAGTCACAAATTTCATTTCCAGTGTCTAGCATCAAACATCAAAGCAAAAAATAAAGAATGTCCTTTGTGTCGAGCCACAATTGAGGATTCTGTCGTTCAATTACTAGCAGGTCCTATCCAGTCGTCACAACAACAACAACAACAACAAACAATTCCAGTTCCACCTCATGTAGTTAATGTGAGTAGTTATATGTTTCATCATTGTTACTTTACTAGTCGATATCGATACAATCATACATTGAGGAATACTTTGATGCTCATGATATCTTATAGGTTGTTCCTTCAGTCGAAGATCTCATTGATGAGGTTGCTGTACGAGAACTTTGTGATCGTCTTGCTTCTGCTCGTCAGGCAGCAGTTGCTTCTCTCAATGATCCTGACAATCTCCCATTGATAACTGCTTCAACAACATTAGAATATGGAGCTCAACTTGCGCATGAAGAATCAAATATTTATGGTCTTGTCACTCTTCAAGCACCAGCTGTTCTCTTATCAGCAGAGACCGGATCGTTGTTATCGTCTCATGTTCCAATTGATCTTGTTTGTGTTGTTGATCAAAGTTCATCGATGTCGGGTGAGAAAATAGCATTATTGAAACAAACTCTGGTCTACATTGTCGAACAAATGAATGAACTCGATCGACTAGCTATTATTTCATTCAACACTGAAGCCTTTGATCGTTCACACGGTCTCAAACGGATGAATCAACAAAAGTGAGTCTAACATTCGCTCATAGAGAAATATTCTTAGGTGTTTCTCTGGGAATGTGCACCAAAAATAGTGTTGAGTTATCAACTAAGATGAGCTGATTCCAAGTTTAAAATAAGTAGAAAAAATCGTCTAATTATTGCAAATCTACATGTTAGTGCAGCATAATTCCCGTAGAATAATCAGTTTTGTCTCTTGCGAGTAAACTAGAGCGAAGAGCCCGTATAGAAAGATTGAATGTGAGAGTGTATACGAAAGTGACTACATGAAGAATGATTGAGAACTTAAGTTTATCTATAGAATTTGTTATTATACGCGAAATTATAACATTATGAGTCATTTCATTTCAATCGTATTGTCATGGATTGTGACGAGTGAAGAACATCATGATGAGAAAAATGAATATATCTAGAATTCCTAGTCAAAACGAATGACGCATATTTCGCCTACTTCATCTCTGTAAGTTATCGCATAGAAAATCCGCATTTGAAGAAAAAAAAAGGTCTAAATCTACTTGCAGATATGATTCATTAAAGAATAGATTTGACAATTCTGTTTTGAGAAATAGATGAAAAAAAATGAACAGCAAATTAANGTATTAATTACTAACTGATTCAAAACATACGATACTACGCACTAGTGACTACCAGTGGCTACCATTACACTTGCTATGGGTGTCATGAAGAGACGAACACGCGTGACAACATCCGTGGTAGTCCTTGATCAATTGTTGTATACGCTAATTATTGATAATGAAGTAATAATGCAATTACTTGTGGAAATCAGGTTGAACAACCAGTATGGAGTTCATATCAATTTGAATTATTTTTGTAAGGGTGAAGAGGTGAGTATTTTCTTTGCGTTAACCCGCATCCAAACTCACACTCACACGTACGCACGTAAACCGTCGTAAACTACATCATACTTCATACGCATACAGGATGATCGGAACTTCTGAAAAATAGGAAAAGTTTCTGAATTTTGAACATTCTTCTGATTTTTTTTGGATGTTTTGATTTTTCTAATTTTTCTGCTTTGTTCTGATCTATCCAAATGCGAAACTTTTCAGATCGCAGGTTCTCTATTAAAATTGGGTACAATGTCAGATTATCGCAATTGTTTGGATACGAATTTAGTGATTGGTGCACTTAAAATAAGAATTGTTGATAAGAATTCTTGTGAACGATTTATTAACATATTATCTACAACACAGTTGTTCAAGTCAATTCGAAAAAATGCAAAATATAGTGAAAAGATCGAAATAATACTACGTAATCTATTTTTCGTTGAATTTCTTAATCTATACAATATATGGATGATTTGTTTTTGTACTTGTCTTTTGTGAACGAGTGTTGAGTTTAGCGGAAAAGTTCGATATTAAGTGTTATTGAGTAGGTTTTCTTGTATTAGTGAAAATATATACTCATTATATTATCTTTTTTTTTAATAGTAAAGCACCTTTGCAAATAGAATATGAATCATTGAATGTCAGTATCTTGACACAATGCCCACTAGTTTTCAAAAGGCTGCCCTTTCTTATTGATATCTGATTTTACAAAAAAAAAAATTCTTGATCATTTTCTGATTTTTAAATTTTTGATCTGGCCACCAGTACCCGTATGACAATCCAAGATTGTAAGTAAAGGATGCATCAGATACAATTAAGAACTATAGAATTATGGTTCAGTGTTGTGTTCAAAACGAAAAGTATTCGGAAAAATTTGTTTCAGAAATGTTTGGTTCAATAAATATGAGATGAAATGACTGTTAAACGTTATGGTTTACCGCTCAGAACTAACGAAGCTCCACACATATCTTTCGATTGATTTCGTAGAAATATTCTGATACAACAGAAATCAACCAATAGCTCTATAAATACCATTGATGACTTTTGAACTTTATTATTGATATATAATAGAAACCAAGGAAATCGGACTGATTCTGTCAAAATTGTGTTTGAACAGCAGTATTAAAGGAAAACAACAAACGTGTTTAGTGTACAATAAATATGTTCTATGTTGTGTTTTCGAGTACAACTCGTCTGGTTCCATCTATAAAATATCTTGAATCAAAAAATAAATCCAGAATATTTTTACATAATACACTCGAGAATTGAATAAACATAAGTATTATATACTCATTACTAGCTTCAATATATTCTTGTCATTCTGTTAACGTTTCTGTGGTAAAAATTATAGGGAGCGACATAAGCAAAACGTTTTTGATTTAAAACACATGTTTGCAGAAACTAACCGATAACGAGAAACATTTCATTCGATTAAAAACCAAATGCAGAATTTTTTCATACCTAAACTATAACACAGGAAATTTTGGGCCGAAATCATAAACTAAGTGCATAATCTGCTAAAAAAGTGTGCACCATATAGGATCTGACAATATACTATTTTATTTTGAAACCGATTTGAATTGAATTAAGATTTTTTAAGATCAGACCGAATCGAATCAGATTAATTTTTTTTTCTCACTTATTCGGTTGACTGTGGTCTCTTTTTTCTCATATATTGCGATGGACGAGAGCATTTAAATTAATATAAAAGATAACCGCTAAAGCGCTCATCACACTACTCGAATTGACACTGAATTAAGGCACGTGATTGGTATAAAATTTAAAACACAATTAAATTATCTTTTCGAGACAAATTCAATTTTAGTGCATCAATGGAATGAAAGCTTGATTACATATAACAAAACAGTGAAATATACATGAATAGATAGCAGAGCTCTAAGCAGGTCACATGACCTGCCTAGGCTTGTCTGTCTGTGACAGGCACAGGCCAAGATTTTTAGGCGTGACCGAGCCCTGTGTCAGGCCTAGGCAGATCGTCTGATCTCTCTAATTGGCTTTTAATATAAACTTTTAATCTTTTAAATTGAATTATTTATAGAAAACAGATTATGGTTAGTTAATTTTCAATGATAACAGTTTAATATGACAAATTACATGTGTCGGCAAGCGTAAATATTGAAAAAAAAGGCAACAAAATTCACTGCCATTCTGAATATGTCATCAGCACAATGGAAGGGTTATTAGAAGTGGTGAAACCGTTACTGTCGCAAGCTTTGTTTTCTTTTCTATGAAAACCTGTTAGACAATGCTATAGAAAATAATTGTTTGTACAATCAACCTTATCCTTTGAAATAGTCAATAATCCCTATGCATGTCATATCTGACCTTTGATAACAAGCAAGTCTGTTTAAATATCGGCATACTGGTCGATCACACAAGTGTTAATATATTTTGACATAGATTTTTTTGCACTACAAATTTCTCTTAAAACAGCGTAGAAAAACGCTGACTACTGAAGAGTGTCCTAGGAATATTGTTTCTGAGACATGATATTTCAGGTGTGTTGAACTAACACTTTGTTGGTTTCGATGAGAAGAAACACAGTTTGAATAAAAATAAACATCAAGTTATGAATCAGTATTGAAACATCCACTAGATTTATGTGAACATTAAAACGTTTTCAAATCGACAAAATGGATCGCGTGTCAAAATAGTTTCATCAGTGAGAAATACTCCTATTACTGGACAACGGTGTAGTTGTGATGGTCAGTGAGGAGAACAGATCAACACCGACAACTCACATCCACATCCCGACTGCATTTCAAGATGCAGTTTTTTTGGTTACTTTTTTATTTATTTTCCTTTGGAACAAAACAAAAGCTTGTTAGCGCAACCGCTTTGGGGCTGAAATGTGGAACTCACATATGCTTTCTAGCCTCATTAAACTAATACAAAAACCGATGACATCTACAGCAGATCTTGCACAGTATCATATATATTAATCAAGTCACAAATAATGATATTCATTATTTTTCAAAATTATAACTTGATCAATTTTCCAAAAAAAAAAGTCTAGAAAATCTAACATCTTTCATTCCCGATTGCTAAGGTCTGTAATGGAGGCCTGTCTGTAAAGGGGGATATCCGTAATGGCGGCTTTTGTTGCTAAGCGTCTGCAACGGAGGGGTGGATAACCGCAAAAATTTGATCTTAAAACATACACTCACTATTTTCTTCGAAAATATATGTGAGCTCTACAATACAACAAGGATCATTTTACTTTGTTGTTTGTTTTACTTGCACAGCTCGTTGCTTTTCAACGCACGTCTTACGTACCTAGCAAAAAAAAGAACGACAATTTTATCGAATCACGAGTAGTAAATAATTGTATCTGGTAGTAGTTAAATCTATTGAAGTCATTCGTAGTCTGTTACGCGGATGAATCATTTTCCTTTACTTAAAATTAATTATTATTACATAACCTTTAGTTTTTATAAAAGAGATAAACAGTTACCAATCAATTTCATAATATTAGTTTTGACTGATCGTGTTAGACAGATATAGTCGAATGTCGAGTTTCTTCCTATTTCAGGAAGGACTCAGCATGGCATTGTTTGATCCATCTAAGAAAGAAATTCTTCATACATCATGTTCAGTCCAGACAGCAATATGTTTTCATCTGACAATATTGGAGAAAATCCCTGCACAAATGTCATTGTCTATCACCTTTTTCGTTTTAATCTATCATATTTGAGCAAGATTTTTGTTCACTATTGTCTGTAAAAAAAAACGCTGTTTGGTTTGAACTGATGAGTGACTGAAAAAGGATTCTGTCTTACATGGCTTAGATAACACCATACTGAGTCCTCTTTGGAGTAAAGAAAGACTTAAAATTCAATGATATTTGCCTAACATAATTGTTTAAACTTAATTTTATGTAAACTAAATGTGGGGTGTGGGTGTATTTTGATTTCCTTCGCACGCATATTCACACTCACACTAATTTATTTCATATTGTGAACATCAATTACCTTTGAAATATGACGACATCATTTAATAGCAATACAGTCATTCGAAAGACAGATGTCATTCAATCATGATGCTGTTGAAATCTCGTTCAATCTCAACGTTTTGGGGGATTGTAAGGTTTCATCATCTTCATTTAATAATAACTCAATGTTGATATTAATGTAGTTCGTGC